ATGGACACACGTCATCATATGGGGATTTCACATTTTCATAACATTAGGAATATACAAAATAATAATAATAATTTGTAGGTATGGCATTATGTTGAACACAAAAACAGAATATATGATAAGGAACAATGCATACCAAACACTACAATAGTTGTCACTACATGGTGCTAATTACTGTATAGATTAATTAAGGAATTCAATATTAAATAAAGTAAACATTTAAATTTAAGTTATAAACAGGCAAAATTCAAGCCGATTTTAAAAATTCTTTTATTATACAACTTATACAGCTGCATGATAATTTAAACTTCTTTAACCTGTTAACCGAGCGGGATGTATAAATATGTCAAATGTTAAAATTTTAGTGTACGTGTAGGTCTTATGTATGCCTACATTTTGTAAATTTCTGCACTATTCAATAATATTCTGCTGCGCTCTGGAACCTGGAGCGGGTGGAATATTTCATATCAAAAATATATACATTAAATTATATTGTGCTGACGTACTGACACGTCCTAGTGAGAGATAGCGCCCGTTATATGCTGGGTAATTAAAAAAGGAATTACCCGGTTAACAGGTGAATACAGTCCACAACCAAGGCAACTACTACAGTCATTCACTAGAACGTCATCGCCTATTTCAGACGACAAACAGCTTGCTTTGTCTGGGTTGTAGGGTGCGATTAGTGTACATGTTTTATACATTGTCGCGTACAAGCAGAAACAAAACGCAACACAAAAGGAGCGTTCTGATTGGAACGCACACCCATCCAATTCAAATACGCAACGTAATGTAACAGACTTAAAATATTCGATCTAACGTACATTTTGTCATCCACCAAATTTGTAATTTCAGTATTTAACCATTAAATTCGAGACTAAACAGCTATCATTTCTCTGGCCATCATCATCTACCATCTGAGCATTCGAGCCGCATCATCACGTACCATACATATAAACCTTCCTATTGAATCATTTCACTCTGTCTATTAAAAAAATCGCTTCAGAATCCGTTGCATAGTTTTAATGATTTAAGCATACATAAGGAAGGACAGACAGCGACAGCGACTTTATTTTATACTATGTACTGATACACCTAAAAATAATATCAGATATTATAAAGCTTTTATTATCAGTCACCTAGCACAATAGCTCTCGTCTGTTCGTGAAATTTAATTGAATAATGACTTCCCATAAACAAAGGCCTTATATGCGATTAATCTGGCAAGCAGGGCAACACCTAATGAAAACAGATGAATATCGCACGCCACTCGTTTCATTTACGAGAACTCTTTTATTCCAATAAATGCCCAGGGGAACACGATGTTTCGAATATGACCTTGTAGCTTATGAAGTATCAATCAGTAAACAAAATTAAAACGAAACGTAATAGAAATAGTAGTGTAGTAGGACCTAGCTAACCTACCTACTATAGTTAGCTTCATAAATAGACGTAAGTTTTTTTGTTTATGTAATACCAATAGCAAAATACTTGGATACCCATCTGATGGTAAGCGGTAACCAACGCTTCTATGGATGAATAGGTATGTGGAAATTAATTTATCATATGACACCCGTGAAATCATTCATTCGTTTCCATACCAGAGGGCCAAAATCGTGCCCATAAGGGGCATAGGGGCCTATAATTTCACCTCACCACCGATCTAATCGCACCTACAACCGAAACACTGTTTACGTGGTAAGTTATTTGGCGGCTGAATTAGGAGAAACTGAGGTACCCACGTAGGCGATTTATAACTCATTGCTCGTTCACTTGAGTTTTCATTGTGTAAATGGAGGAAGTATGTAAAAAGGGCTATATTACTATATGATGTCTATAGTCACAGAATTATTATCACGAATAACCTCTTACATTGGAGCTATCAATATAATTATTTGAAACTAGCTGACCCGGCGAACTTCGTAACGCCTAACAGTCAATTCTTTAATTTTTTAGTTTATTACTTTACTAATACTTATTCTGCTATTCGGGACGACACGGATCAGCTAGTAAGATAAAAGAAAGTTAATAAGTCAATAATTATATAATTTATTTATACCAAGCTATTAAAAAATGCTCATGAAATGTCTCTATACATTATGGCAAAAAATAAAATAAAATTTTTATTTCCATACTTACATCTATTTTTTACAAGTGTTAGCCTAATACAATAGTGCAACTAACATTATTTTTTTTTAATTAATTAACTTTAATAAATAAAGCGATCTTCGTGAACTTAGTGACTTTTATAATAAATGCATGGTGGAATCTATCTTCCCAGAACAATTCAAACGAGCCAAGATTACGCCCATTCATAAAAAAGATTCAAAACTTGACACCAAAATGTATAGGCCTAATTCTCTCCTACTCAAATATTTTTGCAAGTGATGACTTGCAAAAATATTTTAATTTAATTATTAAAATCAAGATTAGTCACCCATTTAAATAATAACAAAGTTTTGAACCATAGACAGTATGGCTATCAGTTGAATGTCAGTACGTCGGAGGCTATTGACTCACTGATCCAGGACGTTACTAGTAAAATTAATAATAGGAAGACAGTGGCTGGCCTCTTCTTAGACTCAAGTTCTGCATTTGATATGGTAAGCCATGAATTGTTGCTAAAAAAAACTGCATCATTATGGTATAAGAGGCAGTTCATTGAAACTCTTCGAATCGTATCTCCATAATCGAAAAATGTTTGTACAGATCAAATCTTTGGATGACAGAATGATGGAAAAAGTGCATAAGTCAAAGTTGGTAAGTGTGAAGTCTGGTGTACCACAAGGAAGTACGCTAGGACCGATTTTCTTCACAATATTTATCAATGACTTAATTGACTTTATACGTAATAACCTAACCTAGATTAGGGGTTGTTAAACACAGTGCACGTTATCAGTCTGTAAAACTATTTAATAGATTGCCTAGTGATTTAAAAGATGCTATTTATAAAAACAATTAAAAATTAAACTTAAAAAATATTTATTAAAAAAATGTTTTTACTCCGTAGACGAATTTTTTGATGAATGACCGTTACTGTAGCTCATTTTGGAAATTATTATTGGTATTACTATTATTGATTTTATTGTTATTGGTATTATTATTTTGACATTGTTATTTTAGATTTACATTTAATTTTGTATTTTGAAATTCGACACAATAATTATTGTTATGAATAAATAAATAATAATAATTCTAAACTCATTCAGAGAATAAGAAAATAGATCTATTTGCTCCGTTATATGGTTTAATGTACGCAGTGCTCTTGTGACCGGTGCTTTGCCTAGTAAGTGCGTGGCTCCGCGCGGCACAGCCAGCTGTTGCGGTCGGCAACGACACCATACAATTTTTTCCGGAACACAGAACTCCAAACAACTCAACACCTGGCTATTGTTAATTTTATAATATAATTATAAAATAATATAATTATATAATAATTATAAAACAAATTGAATCGCTGAATGTGTTGGTAAGCGCTAATCTCGAGAACTACTGAACCGATTTCGATAATTCTTTTTTTAGAATATTCCTTGAGGTACTAGGATGGTTCTTACGGAGAGAAAAAATTGAAATTTTGCCTAAAATGCCTAAAAATTGTAGAATATATATTAATAATATATTACTACAAATCTCAAAAATTATATATAATAATATAATTTTTGAGATTTGTAGTAATATTATAGATGCACATCAATGAGACATTTACATTTCAAGTGACATATTATCACTGACAACGTTTTTGACTAATATTGACACATGCCTTCCCGGAACCTATCTACTTACACTTGAACTTTATGTATGGTATTAAAGTTCAAATTGACCTTTAAATATCATTACGAATCGTATGGATGGAATTCTTCCTGGAACCTCTCTACTAATATTTGAATTTTATGGTATGGTATTTGTTAATTTTATATATATTAGTGGTATTCGGTGGTAATAATTTCGTCACCTTTTCTTCACCCCGCGTTAAAGTCGCTGGTTCAGGGCGTTTACAAATATACCTCTGCCGATGCCTATTATCTAATCACTTTTGTGTACACGAAATAATAAATAAAATATAAAATTGTCCCTATACTCACCCCAAATACACCAAAAATCCGCCAATTTGCACCAAGTTTCTAATATGACCGCCGTAACCGCTGTTCGTTCCCGCGATCGAATGTGTCACTAGTGTTGCGCGCCGCGTCCGCCAGAGGGCAGGATTTTTTTCATATCCCCAACATTAAGACTTTATAGGGACGTATATATACATTTATAGTGTAGGTGTGTTGTGGTATGTTGAAGGTGTAGTGCCGCGAAAAATGACAATAATTGCAGGAAAATTACACAGTATTAAGGTTCAAATTTACTTTTAAGTATCATTACGAATCGCTTGTATGTGATTATAGAAAAGTACTGTTTTTAGGTATGTTTAGGCAATTTTTAAAATTTTTCTCTCCGTAAGAACCACCCTTGTACTTCAAGGAATATTCTAAAAAAAGAATTAGCGAAATCAATTCAGTAGACATCGAGATTTGCGCTTACTTACTTAATAGAATTAATTGAAACTAAGAGCTTAGCCTGCACCTGAAAGATGGATTGTCACCGTTAGAGTAGTGTAGCAGTTTTTATGTATCTGAAAAGATAAACTCCTTGACGACCAGCATGATGACTAGTGGACTAGTCACCTATAGACATGAACATACAAACGATATCACGCTTATAGTACCTTTCATCCGTTATCACTATGGAAGAATACTGTGCCATACCGTGATTTCACGGCTATTGTGGCTTGGCTGCTGAAAGACAGAGGTACTTATTACACTACCTCGGTGAGTCGTGGTACTGCTGAGGGTAGTTGTGTGGGTAGGGTTAGAATCCGATGTGTCTCACACACTCTACTATGAGATGATCTTTATAAAGTCTGTGTGTGAGAAACATCGGACTATAAAGGAATTAAAGAATCTCGTGATCGGCTTAACAGAATACAAATTGTTTTATTTAATTAACGTAGGATTAAAAATAACTGACAATAATACAATAAAAGAAATGCAATATTGAATACCAAAAGAATACAATTTTTTGCTATTTACTTAAAAGTAAGAAATGAGTAAGTTGGTAGTTGTTAAATTTATACAAAATGTAATATTGATGAACAGGTACTACAATACCAAGAATATTATATGAAGCATAATTCTGTCATCTCTATGGCCATACTTCGCTCCCCATATCCTACGTGCTTGATAAGAAAATCCGTTATGGGCAAACGATTAACAGTATCAACTATACTTATGTCAGTGTATCCCCACTTCGTAGAGTCAACAGATTCCTTGCAAAGAAAACGAAATCAAAATATAGTACAGTTATAGGTCATTAAAATGTTAAATGACAAATATCCTGTAACGTAAGAAATAATTATATTCTTTATCGTGTAAATATTATTAAAGTCTGATTTGTAAAGATGGATATTATCATTCAATGACTGGTTTGTAATATACAGACTAAAAGCTACAAAATACAGCTCAATCATCAATTTAATAGCAACATTTGTAAACCGAGTTATAAAGAGAAGTCAAAGTTAATTATTAATAAAGATATTGTTATTTTCTGTCAAATTATATAATTTCGCTGTTAAATACGATAATTTTAATTATTTAAACTGGTGCATTAAACTAAAACTATTTAAATTGAATAACCTAAACTCTAATACACATTTTGTAAAAATTTCATCCCATTTCCTTCATAGATTTTATGATTCTACAATATGTAAGGAAAAGAAGATAATAACTATAAATATAATATATATAAAGAAAAATATAAATAATTATACTATATTGAACAGTAATAAAATATGGAAAACATACCGAACAGCCATCATGTACTATAATGTAATGGGAAGGCGAATTTACTGTAGCTGAGGGCCCGATTAATTTATCATTCCAAGTTAATAAAGCCAATGCATCATCCGGTGCATCACGTGGCAATACCGGCGAATTTTTACAATGGTATCTTATCTTTTGATACACATACGACGACTGACTATTAAGCCATGCCAATTGTTGTAATGTTATCTGAAAGGAAAGAAAATATATTATTGTGCAAAACAATATGTTGTTATCACAATATGTTAACGTGATGCTCTTAATGTTAACATTTATATTTCTAAATAACTAAGATCTAATGACTTTTATATTTTAATTTCACTACCTAATCGCACCTTACATCTGAAACACACCTTAGAAGTTCCTTGAATATTGAAACAATTGAATACCGTACCCACGTAAATGACTTACTAGTAATGAACTAGGTAAAATCCAGTCCAATCCAGTAGAGATAATTCTATAACACAACATACACATAGACTGCCTGATTCACATATATGTTTACTTTGATCTGAAATAACCATACACCGACTCACTCAGAGCAGGACCTAGTTTGGTTTACAGACGAGTACAAAATAGGAGATGATGTAGGATGTGGAATATGCGGTGTAAAACCCAAAATCAGCAACTATATAGGCTTAGGTAAATACGCCTCAATCTTTCAGGCACAGACTTACGCCTTAATTAGATGTTTGGAAGTAATCCTAAACCTTAACTACATCAATCAGAACATATACATTTATTCGGACAGTCAAGCTGCTCTACTAGCACTTCACTCGTATGAAATCCGTTCTAAACTTATTAGAAACTATATCTTGCTACTAAATGAAGTAGGTAGCAAAAATAATATTATACTGAGATGGGTCCCCGGGCATTCAAATATCGAAGGCAATGAAAATGCCCGCCATCTAGCAAAGTTAGGGACAAAAACCGTCCTACTGGGCCCCGAACCCTTCTGTGGTGTGCCTCGTTGCCTAAAACTGGGACATCTCAAATTAATAACCAAACGAGAAGCACTGAATCCCTGGCAAGAAATGCCAGGATTAACATATCCAAAAGCCCTAATATCGGGTTACTCGAACAAATACTCCAATAGACTACTGGTATTGAGTAAAAACAACATATGCATGATGACTAGGGCCCTCACAGGACACTGCAAATTAAACAAGCATATGACTAAACTAGGCCTATGCACGACAAGAATCTGCAGATTCTGCCAAACTGAAGAGGAAACGCCGCTACACATCCTATGTGATTGTAGCCCATTCATGCATAAACGAAATATCTCCTTTGGAAAGTTTACACTCTTTCCCGAGGAGATAAAAACCATCGCTCCTAAGAATATCCTTCAATTTCTTGTCCCTGACGGGTCTAGGTAGCGAACTTTGAAAAAGGGCGAGCACATGTAGGTCGCAGTGCTACAGGTGCTACAAACAACTGACAACAGCCCAAACAACCCAATAAAAAAATAAAAATTACTTTGATCTCTCCTATTTTATTTCACGTATTTAACTCCAGTAATTACCTAATACTAATAAGTGTCAAAAAGTACTATAATTTTCAGATCTCCACTCAGCCAATATGCCAATATCCAGATTCTATCACTTCTTTAATCATAAAATTGATGGAGATATTCAGTGGATTACAGCATTGAATATAATTTATTCTTGATTTCATTATAATATGAACACATATTTTAAACGTGATAGGATTATACTTTTTATTCCACAATGAATGTGCGTAATGCGGTCCCTTAAACCTACATTTAATACACTTTACATCTAAATAATATACATAATATAAAACGATACATAAAAGAGTAACCAATAGTAGCAAAAAACATATCCAAAATATTTTTTGTCAAAATACTAATTATTAACTATAATTGAATTTATGAGTGGCAAAAGGTTACAACAACTATGCCTAGTATCGCAGGCGTTCATGTTTTGAAGTGCATTATTTGATACTTACATTATAATACTGATATATTTCATGATATTCGCTCAACCAAAATGGTTGTTTATTCTCTGTATAATCTATATAATTCAGATCACGCGATGGTGCTTTTAAGTCCTCTATTTTATTCAATATTAGACAAGTATGATGATCTTTCTTGCAGATAATTTTAAAGGGATCCAAAGGCATCACCGTCAAAATTCTGCCTGTAAAAATAATAAGGATTTGCATTACAACAAAAAATGTGAGTTTAGGATTCAGTAAGAAGATGTACAAACTAATACTTGTAGATAACTATTTCTAGTTACATTCAGTGCTATCTATATATTATAGTTTTTAGATTTATTATTAAATATTTTTATGAAATACAAATATATATTTTTATTATTGTTTAACATATAAATTTATCTTACCACAGTGTTTGTGTTTTGTTTCACAAAACTCCTCCGAAACAGTTTCACCGATTCTTATTACATTTTGTTAGTATTAGACATTAGGTCTATCAGTTTTATACCCCTAAGTAATAAGGGTCGTCCACCCCATAATTTATTTTATATTCATTGGACAATTTTGTTAATTTTGTCCAGAAAATGAAAATATATTTTAATGTCTTTTGAATTTTTTGTATTGTATTATTTTAATTCTTCAATAATTTTCATTAAAAAACACATACCACTCAAAATTTCGCCCTATTATCAACCCTTATTTTTTAATAGCGATATTAGTACTTTAATATTTTTGTTTCTTGGCGGTCAATAACTAAAAAGTTCAAATGATTACTACCCAACATCCAACGAAGTAGCCACAGGTCAGCTAGTATATATGTATATATATAAAAGAAATAGAAATATAGAAACAGAAATAGAAATAATCTTTATTCAAATAAACCTAATATAAGCACTTTTGACTTGAGTGTTGATCTTTTAAATAATAGTTGTTTTATGTGAATTTACATTAACAATGATTAGTCATGTGACAATCAACACAGAAACCGCTACGCACTTAGTCTCTTTTCAATCATATAGCATTGTCAGCGCTATGAATTTTTAGTTAGATATTTACTACACAAATATTATTATCATTTATATATTCTTCAATTTTATAATAAACTTTTTTACAAAGAAACTAACAGACTGACTGACTAGAAACACTACTTCTCTTCGACTAATACCTTAGTCGGAGATTTAGTTTGTCATACATATAAACATATCATGTTATAATAACTAAATGTAATAATAACTCAAAATAATATTCTCATTTATTGCAACAATAACTAAAGTAAACAAAATACCTTCACCGACACTTTTATAAGCTTTGCAAAGACCTGGCAATACAGTATTTCTCCTTCCTTCAGGTTTCTCTGTGAATGAAAATGAACAAAGGTATATAATAATAGTAATAACATAGTTAAAAATAATAATAGCCCAATTGTTACAGCGCCATGTAGGTACAAGCTAAGCTGTACCCGTCAGGCGGGAATTGGTCTTCAACCACTCCATAAGTCCTTCCATGGGGGTAATAATATATGGACTACCGTAAAATAACACCTAATTCGATTAAATATAAAGTAGTATTATTTATTACAAAGAACTGGCAACTGTATTCTTTGGTATTCAGTAAAAAATAACTGCGGTTCTTGAATAGTGGAATGTTAAGTAAACAAAAAAAAATACCATGATATTAGCGCTGTCTTTTGTCGTCATTGTATTTTTGTTTAACAACTATGAAGCCATTTTTCTCGAAGAAACTATATGGTTTCAGGGAAAGTTCTAGAACAAAAGTTCATTACCATGGTTACTATTATATACCCGTCCGACTATCCGTGACGATGTTTACCTTGTACCCTACCTCTTCTGTACTAAAAAGATATCAGTTGCCTAGTAAATAAACTTTATTTTAGATATTTGTTTTTAGGCTACATAGTTACTTTTGTATTATAATTTTAATATAACTTAGACATCATTATATTCAAATTTCAATTCAGTTCATAATAAAAACAAAAAATCGTCATACCATCTTCTAAATTATCGTCATTGGAGCAACGTTTTATGCAGACTCCTGGTGCGCCTGGAAGTCCAATAGGTCCCTGTAATGAAATTGTTGTCAGCAATATAAATATATATATATCGCCGTTAGAATAATTAAAATAAATATTATACACATACCTATTCTCTTTAGTTAAAAAGAAAATGCAAGTAGTATATAGAGCTTATTATGTTTACTAAACAACTGAAAGATTACTATCGTCTATGATTCTTCATCATACTATATATAGTATAATGAAGAATCATAGACGAAGTATACTTCATCTACACAAACTTTAATCCTTTATTTCACCTACTTCCATAATATTTTTTTAAGAAACAGTAGTCTATGTTCGTCGACTTGATAAAATCGTAGGTACTTTTATTTTATCGTTAGCTACCGACAGCATTAATTTGTATTTCCATACATTATTTACTTAATCGAGGTATAATGGTTTACTATACTGAATTACATCCAAGAGGTACACAGATAAAATCTTGTCGAAGCAAAAAAAAAATTGCTACAATTTATATTTCTGACATTCAATCTTTTAATAAAAGATGGATATGTGAATATCCATAAGATTTTTGTTCTAATTAAATTAGTCTTTAAATTTCAAAATTTATTTAATGATAATGAAACAGATAAGTAATAAGTATAAAAAAAATAACAACTTATTAGAAAGATACAGCATTTGTTAAGTGGTACAGATACGTAAAATCTTTTAACCTAATTTAACTAAATCTTCAGAGTTGAAAATTACAACAGTTTTATTTTATAACGTAAGATACCGAAATAAAGTATTTTTTTTTAATTTCAACTTCACGTCACTACGTGTGCAAAATTTTGGGCAGCAAATATTAGTTATAATAATATAGATACTGACCATAATTCCAGGCAATCCAAAGATACCTTGCTCGCCCTGAATAAAAATTAATTATTTTCCAGTAACAAATATTTAACATAGTTTAAATTAAAACATAATTTAAACAAAGTTTAAATATTTGTTAAGTCGACATTACATTATTGTGTTATTCCTTAGTAATGAAGTAAAGAAATAATTATATACCATTTTAAGTATTAGCTGCACACGACAGGCGAAATCGCATTGGAATAATGAATAAAAAAAATTCTTAAATCTTTTTTTTTATGAGAACCTACCCCTGACAGTAACAAGAACAACAAAAAAAATTATGAAATTTGGAACACATATTTATCTCGCAAGTCTCAATATATGAACCAAATTTGACAGGTTTATGTGAAAGAATTTTTGAGTTATGAGGGAGTCAAAAGTGGCTCCAAATGGTTCGGGTAAATATACACACGGTGCTGCTCGCCAGTTGTCTTACTTGAAACTCGGCTTGACACGCTACCACGTGTCTAGATAATTATTTGGCAATTCTTTTGTGGACTCCCGCGTTACAGGTTTGCCTAGTACAGATAGATAGATAGATAGATAGATAAGTTCTTTATTCAACCATTACAAACACATAGCATACATGAGATACATTTTATAAATAGAAATAAAGTTTACAGATTAAATAATACAGAAATATAATATTACAAAATAAAATAAAAATGGAGGTGGCTTTATGTGTCGCAATGATGAAGAGGCAACCAACTCAGCATGAAGCTACAGATAAGTCTGCAGCGCTGATATTCTGTTGGCTCCTATAATTAAATACATACTTACATACATATATACGTGAATGTTTATATATTACACTTCGAGCTCTTAAAAAATTATACTATTACAAAACATTATACAATATACAAATAGATTAAAAATGAAGTGGTGTGTTATGTATACATATATTGTTAACCTATAGATACATACTACGTACATAAATAATAGTTGTTGCATATACAAGGTCGCTGGCTAAACGCGCCGTGAGTCAGACATTATTGTTCCTGACCATGCTTACCGACTTCGGTCGTTGAAAAAAAGACTCCTCAGATAAAGGACCTCCTATTTAAAGTCAGTTGTTCAGACAATAAGTGTTTTTTTAAAAGGTTTTTAAAATTCACTTTAGTTTTTATATTACGAATAGGAGGAGGTAAGTTATTCCAACACTTGGAGGCCATATATCTGAAACTGCCTCTGAAGGCAGTAGTCCGATGTGCTGGAGTCACTAGTCGATACAACGAAGCCCTGGTTTTAAAAGCATGCTGATTGCCAGACCACACAAGTTTTCTATAAAGGTAATCAGGCATTTTGGATTCAATCACATCAAACAACAAAGTCGCAAAATAAAGGTTGTAACGTGAAGACATAACCAAAAATAAATAAAAATACTGTATATTTCAATTAATATTTAGTAGTTTAGCATTATTGAGATAAGGAGAGACATGACTACGCGGTGGTATACGGAAGCAAAAACGGGCGCATGCATTTTGTACACGTTGGATAAGCCGCCGTGATCTAGCTAGTGTACATGAACCGAAAACAGCTAAACCGTAACTCAGCTTGGACAATATCAGAGAATCGCACAGTCGAACACGTAGATCAGTTGAAAGATAATTTCGAATTTTGTATAATATCTTTAGTCTGTAGAAGCAATTCCCCACACAATCTAGGACATGGTTTTCGAATTTAAGACCAGAGTCCATTAGTAGACCCAGATTGCGCGTTTCAGTTACTTGCAACAGAGGTGTACCTTCTACTGTTATAACTGGTGTTTGATTTTTAATTTTTTGTACCTGCAATTTAGAACCCAATATCATGAATTTCGACTTAGCCGGATTCAAAACAAGAGAATTTTTATTACACCAGTTCGATATACGGAAAAGTGTTGAGTTCAATATTCTAACCGCCATGTTTGTATCTTGAGGATTTATAGACATGTAAACTTGTAAGTCATCCGCATATTGGTGATATAAACATCCTTCACAGTATCTAGCAATGTCAGCACTATACAGAATGAATAAGAGGGGACCCAGAATTGATCCCTGCGGGACTCCTCGCGTCAATAGTCTAGGTTTGGAATATAGTAGAGTGCCGTTGTTCTGTGTTACCTTTACGAGCTGATGACGATTACTGAGGTAACTATCAAACCAGAGTATTGTTTGCCCATCAAATCCATAGTATCTAAGTTTTGAAAGTAAGAGGTTTATATTTAAACATTCGAAAGCCCTCGAAAAATCGAGCAAAGTAAGCAAGGTACCATTTCCCTTATCCATAGCCGCCAAAACATTGTCCACAACATCCAATAATGCAGTGATCGTACCTCTTCGTTTTCTAAATCCAGATTGAAAAGGTGGTAATATGTTATTGGCTTCCAAGTAATAGGACACTTGTAGATGGACAATCCTTTCCAGGACTTTAGACAAAAAAGGTAATATGCTAATCGGTCGCAAATCTGATAAATTTAATGGGTTGGTAACCTTAGGGATAGGACATACCACCGCTGTTTTCCATATTGCAGGGAATGTTGAAGACTCTATAGACTTATTAAAATGAAAGTAATAATGTCCAGTGTCCTAGGGAGTGTTAAAAGCATCATATCTTTAGATATATTATCAATGCCCAAAGCATTTGATTTTATTTGTAGCATAATTTTACCCACTGTAAGTGAGTCAACAGGTTTTAAATTGAAAGTAGATGAACCACACCTATGATGCTCAAAGTAAGTCAGATCGGATATGCGAACTTCGTCAATACCTGGAGTTTTTAAAAAATGATCGTTAATTTTATCCGGATCGTTTACAGACAAGGGCAAGCTGTTCACCTTTGTATTAGGTAAAGCAGTCTTTTTTAAGTTTGACCATAAAGATTTGGAATCCTTAATTTTTTTATTAATGTTATATTCGAAATAAGCATTCTTTTCAAAATGCGTACCGACATTAACAAGATGTTTTAATCTTTTATATTCGTCCCGCAGTACCACATTGTCATGCTTTTTAGACTTTGCATGAGCTGAATTGTAATTTCATCATGAGCCGTACATTGCTTGTCAGCCACGGTTTATGTTTATCCCTACATAAGACTTTTTTTTACCGGAGCGTGGCAATTAAAGAGCTCAGTTACATATGCATTGAAGCAGGTCACCATATCAGTCACTGTATCTAAGTAGCGGATTGAATCCGATATGGAATTGCATCTAAATCTTTATTGAACGATGTCATATCTATATTTTTTATTGGCCTATATAACTTATAAAGTGGCGATTGTTTCTTTTTTGTTATTTTAAATTGCGCATAAACCATTGCATGGCCGCCGAGCTCAGGTATATGATCAATGCAGATATTTATAACAGGAGTATCAGTACAAATAAGGTCAATGAGAGACTCACTAGTCTGTGTAAAGTGTGTAGGCTGAGTGATGTAATTTTGTAAACCCAAGGATTGCAAAAAAGAGTTTAATTTATGCGAATTCTGTTCCGAGTTATTCAGCAAGTTGATATTAAAATCTCCCAATAACGCAATGTGATCATAGCTTGAGATGGATGATATACTCTCAGTTAACGCATCGAAAAACAAGTCGACATCCAGCCACGGGGGTCGATAAGCCGTTCCAATGATTATCCGTAAGGATTTGATCGTTAGGGATAGCCACATTTGTTCCACTGAGGGTGTATATTTACATTGCGGAGCACTCTGACATTTACTCCCTGACGCACATAAAAACCAACACCACCACCACGGCCTCGGATTGTTCTGGGACGGGGAACATGACGTAAAGTGTACCCAGGTAATGACGGAGCACGTCCCTCTTCTCCGGGCCGAAGCCACGTCTCGTTTATAGCTAATATATCAGGGGAATGTCGCCCTACTGCAACCTCTATCTCGTCATGCTTTGTACCCAAGGATCCGGCATTAAAGAGACCAATCTTTGAGGTATCTTTGTTTAAACACGTTGAAGATAAACATAATGTATAAATAAATATATGTTTTGATTGTATGATGTGATGCCCAAGAATAGAAATATTAATTTATAAATACTATTGAGGCGAACTAACAAAGTATGTCTTGCAAAATAATTAGCATTGGATATTTGATCTCGATTGATGTATGTTTGTGTTACGTGTCGTGATGAAAAACTAATGTAAAAGACCGATAAATTATGTGATAAGTATATGGACATAAAACTTAAGTAAATTAGTTCAGTTAATTTAAATTCACACAAACTAACAGAGAGACACAAAGCCACCCAAGGAACAAGTACAAAATTAAGAAGTCTGTAAAAAATAGAGATGCAATGTAATGATGAAGAACACAATTCATTTAAAACATTATTGAATGTATACAGGTGAGGCATCGGTACTAAAAATGCGATCTATATCTGCCTGCTGACGAATCGTGTGAACAGGAGAAAGTACATCGCGCCTAACATATACCCGGCCATTCCTGGTCCAGACAAATCGCCATCTCTGTCGCCTGGTAGCCTCGCGCGCCCTCCCAAATAAGCTGCGGTTTGTTTTTGTAAGTCGTTCATTGACATATAGGCGCTGCGGTTCATGCTGGGGCAAACCCATATCAGCAGTAGACGCATGTCTGCACCCGTGCGGCTCGCAGGTGCTGATCTCGAAGGAGACGTCGTGTTAGTCTGACGGCAAGCGGGCGCGCCGCGTGGCACCCTTCAGTTGCGTCACCGCCGGTAGATGTACCCCGTCGTAGACCCACGCGCGAGGCACTGACGATGTCACGCTCGTCCATGCTTATACCCAATTTGGCAGCCACCGTGATGATAATATGTTCCACCGACTAAGCTTCGAATTAGGGACCCCAGATATTTCTATATATTGAGATATATCGCTTCTTTCTTTTTCAGCAATCTCTTCCTGTAACTGTACTATAGTACTCTGTAAACCAGTCATATCGATAACAGCTGTCTCTCCACTCTTTTCTCCAAACTCAGAACCCTGGCTTCGATAGAATCCATTCTGCTATTACATTGGCTAATAGTGTTCTTCAATTCAGTAATTTCCTGTCGAAGTACCTGCATCTCCGATCTCGCAGCTTGCATCTCTGTACGGAACAATCTAAATTCAAGTGCCCATTCCTGAGTTGTAAACTCCTCTGTAATATTGTGAGCGGTGTCGTCTAGTGACATATTGTGTGATAGCAGGTCATCACTTCTCGACGTGCAATCCGCATGTATACCACGTACAGGGGTGGCCAGATTACTTTGTCTCGGCTCCTTAGCTTTACATTCTGGACAAACCCAGGTAAGCGCCACCTGTCCGACGGCAGGCAAACCCACGCATGCGCGGTGGTGAATAGCAGAGCACCTGTGACACGCAACGCTATCTGAAGTAGCCATGAATTTGCCACAAGCAGCGCACTTGACCATGTTGAAATAGTATTCTGAATAACCACTAGAGGGCTCACGTTTGAGTACCTGCTATTCGCCGTGAGATGTCGCTGTAGTGATCCAGATCAATACTTTGCCAACAGTGTCTACGATTTTCATATACCCTCTTCCACGAAAAAGAGTATGGTAATTCACAGTTTATAAAAGTTAAATTAATCGAAATTTCGCGAGCACTTGTTTACACCAACAACACCGGACACGAAGACGATCACACTAAACACTTTAAAGCGCTAGCAAACTTTGAACAGTAGGTTTTTATAGGTTAAAACGAAAAATAACTGAGAGCTCGATGTGTACGTTGGAAGTTATTACTATATATCAATATACAGGGTCCAATGTTTAATCAATATTGTAATATTTGTATGTTTGAAAATGAATAAATAAATAAAATAAAATAATAAAGGAAGAATAATTACAATATATGAGAATGTCTACAATTTTTTTGGTAGTATTTAAATTTATTAATGTTAATAACAACTTATTAGTTACAGAATCTGGTTTAGCACTAGTAATAAACCATTCACCAATGATCTCTCTATGGTCTAAAGTTAGACGTTTCAGTGGTCTAAATGAGTCTTAGTTGCCTTATGTAAACTCTGTATGTTTCTTGTTAAGAAGTGGTATATTTATATAAAATATTCTATACTGACTTAATATAAACGCACAAGCAAAATAACTAAATCTTTAGAGTTGGAACTTAGAACAGTTTTATTTTGTTACGTAAGATATCGTAATATATATATTTTTTTAATTTCAACTTCACGTCACTACGTGTGCAATTTTTGGGCAGCAATTATTAGTTATAATAATATAGATACTCACAGAAGATCCTGGTGGTCCAGGTAATCCTCTTACACCTTTATTTCCCTGAATAGAAATTTAAAAATTTTCAATAACATAAACTTTTACACATTAGTCGATATTGCATTATGAAATGATTCGTATATAATACAGCAGAGAAAGAATATACTAGCTGATACGACAAATGTTAGCCTGACTTCAATACATGTTGAAATCTCATTGGTTATAACATTGCACTTACTTGACATTTATTATTGGATGTTAAATAATATATTTTTAAATTATTGCCTATATGTTATTCTGATGTACTAGCTGTAAAGTTTCATCAAAATCCGTTCAGTAGTTTTTGTGAAAGAGTAACAAACAAAAATCCATCCATACTCAGAAACTTTCGCGTTTATAATATGGTAATAAAGTAAGATAAAATATGACTATATTATACTAAGTTATTAATATACAATAATAATTTATTTGGGATTTACTTACTTTCTCTCCTGCCATACCTGGGAAACCCTGGACCAATAGGAAATAATTAATTAGTATTGAGGAATCAAACATCAAATTTCTTAATTTCTAAGTAATTAATATACAATAACAATTTATTTGGCATTTACTTACTTTCTCTCCTGGCATACCTGGGAAACCCTAAACCAATAGGAAATAATTAATTAGTATTGAGGAATCAAACATCAAATTTCTTAATTTCTAAGTAATTAATATACAATAACAATTTATTTGGCATTTACTTACTTTCTCTCCTGGCATACCTGGGAAACCCTAAACCAATAGGAAATAATTAATTAGTATTGAGGAATCAAACATCAAATTTCTTAATTTCTAAGTAATTAATATAAAATAACAATTTATTTGGCATTTACTTACATTCTCTCCTGGCGATCCTCGCATACCTGGGAAACCCTAGACCAATAGGGAATAATTAATTAGTATTGAGGAATCAACCATCAAATTTCTTAATTGTATACATATAATTTTTTTATTTCGTTTTATTTTCTAAAAAGTCGTTTGTATGGCGCCTTATGCTCATCGATTTCTGTTTTATAACTCATGGAGATCAGAGATAAAATATATCGGCTAATTTATATTATTTTTATTGTGACGAATTCAATTAATGGGTTGCGATATGCAGCTAAAACTCACTAGCGTTCCTTGTAAACCTGCTGCGCCTGTATTCCCCATATATTAAATAGAATAGCATAGAAAATTCTTTACTCATATAATTATTTGAATAGTCATACTTATTTTTTTTATCTACCACTTATTCGGAAAGCTATATCACAATCATCACAAGAAGAATGAGCAAGAAAGTTTTGACGCTCTCTAAATATAGTAACGTAATTAAACAAAACAAAATATTCTACCCAACGAAAACAGGAATCAAAACGTAAAAGTCTTGAAATTATCAAAAAACCTCTAACTATTTACAATTTATTTCATTTTTAATTAAAATTTACATATTAAAACAATATTTTACTCACAGTTTTAAAAGAACCTTGACCTGAAAGGAAATATTACACAGTTTTAATATATAGTGTATGTATAAGTTTAAGATAATTATTGTAATTAGTATAACAAAATAGCGAATCATTAAGACCTGCATTTAGTTGTTTAAGTTAAGTTAAGGTTGTGATTAAGTTGTGATTGGCTAATCACAACTTAAGAACTTTGGTTTCTAGTAAATATTTATGAAAGACCAAATCTATCTCTGGATCTTATAACTATAATAAATAAATGCCACCAAGTCTTGCAAATGGTATTTTTTTATTAAGTTGTACTTCTCAGAAATTAATGCTGAAAGAGCCCTTGAAATTTGCGTTTAATTTCTAAGGCTATTAATGTAACTGAAAAAGTCAACCTTAAACTTGGCCTGTACCAGGTACCTGTAATTCTATTAGTATTTCTATATTTCAGCAACATATCATCGTATTACAACAACCTTATTAAAAAGAAGAAAGAAAGAAGAAACTGAAATCAAAACTGTCTCCGGTTATTTTACTTGTATCAATATTTATATTGTTTACTTACTTAATTTTACAGTACATGTATCCTTATCCAATTCAGCAGTCTACAAAACATAAATTTTAATATGTAATTAGAAATACTAATGACGAAAGTAACATTTTTATATAATTGGAATCCTGACTTAAGATTGATCGAAATATCGCGTATATACATGAATAACTACGTACGTTTAATCACGTTATCATATGACACTCTTGAAACCACAAATGCGTTGACATTCCAGAACTCCTATAATTTCACTGCCTAATCTACACCCAATTTCGATCATGAGTAGGTAAAAAGTAGTAGTAGTAGTTTATATATACAACTGATATTATACATACATTATTGTTCATTAGTGTCCGGTATTATTATTATTATTATTTACGTACCGTGAACACAGGTCCCACATAGTCGCTTGATATTGTATCTGAAACTGAAACCGAAAATTAAAATAATAAATTAAACCACTTAGCAGTAGATAGTCGTTTATAAATTAAGTAGGTGTGTTTCTTTACTAGAAAAAAAATAATATTTTTTCTAATGTGTAAACAACAACTTCTACCAACTCTTACCAGTAACCAATAAAGTAAGAAGCATTTTATAGTACAAATATTTTTATGCAACTGTAATAACATATCTACAGATTGTTGGCTCACCTTGTGGTAACCGTGTGGTATACATCACTAATAACATAATAATGCCTTTTTGTATGTACAATAATATTACAAAATTAAAAAAAGGCAATATCAAATGGTAGAAAGTTGCGAAATATAATATGAGAACCCTAATAACAGAGTCTCCATAGTACATCTATAGGTATCAGTACTCTCTTATAGCATGTACCTTAAATAATATCTGTAAGTTGTGTCGAAATAGATATTTAAGTAAAGTGTAATTAAATTAGAATATGGATTCGTGAATATATATGAGAAATATGAATATTGTTTTAAATAATAAGTGCTAGATGTATGTAATAGGTGACCAAGTGACTTCCGCGTGATACCGCACATACGTCACTATTGACTTATTAATTTTATCCTGTAATTTCATTACCACTTCTAATCCTATAATCAAAACACATCTTAAAAAAAAGGCATTTCAACTGAAAAAGACTGAGGTAGTAGAAAGAGGTAGTTACATTTTTACAGTCTATCTTTGTCCATATATATCCATAATTTATCTACACAGTAGGTATTATAAATAGAAAAGATTTAATTGTTTGAATATTTTTAATGAACACGCATTAACTAAACTCAAGAAGTACTCGACAGATTTGAAAAAATCTTCTACCTTTAGAAAGTTAAATTATAATTATTAGCGTGAGACATATTAGGTATATTGTATTCTTATTATTTAAAACTATATTAACTGTAACTTGGGTATATTAAACGTTGCAATAACTGCAGTGAATTAAAAGATTAGACAATTTGTTAAATATTTCGAAGGTAGTACATAAATAATATGTTGAATTTAAAATTAAAATAATAAAATGTACATACCCACGTAAATTAAAATTAAAATTAACAGTTTTAATGCTTTATCTGCCATTATGTCAGAGGACGTGCGATATATAAAGTATAATATTGTATTATGTTTAATTTACTAATGTATACAAGTAATTATTATTTACATCTATATATTTTTAGTCTCAATTTCCTCATATATTTATATTAATCTTAAGGACACGACACATGAGACTTGAGGAAAATTAATAATTAATACCACTAAATGTTATTGAAATTACGGGCCACTGTCCCTTAAACAATCACTTGTACACAATAGATGCTACAGACAGTCCACTTAGTCGGCGATGCTTTAAAGCCAAAGAAACTGCCGCTCACGTAATTCTGAAGAGCTTGCAGTGGCCACGCAACGATAACAAACCTCAGAATGGTGAGGGTGCTCCATGAAACCTGTGAAAATACCTCCATCACCAGGTTCTGCGCTTCTGGGAGGAGCTCGGCTGGCTACTTTGGTAATTTCTGGTCTACACGCGCAACGGCACAGAGGAGAGGTTTAATGCGGAGAATAGTACACATTATATTACATTGTATTGCCTTACCTACATGGCATTACGTTGCAATATATTGCATTATATTGCGTTATATTGCATTATATTGCATTATATTGCGTTATATTGCATTATATTGCATTATATTGCATTATATTACATTACATTGCATTCTATTATATTACATTGCATTGTATAACATTACATGGTTTATTATTGGTGGTATTGGAGCTACCTGGCCTAACTTCGTCAGAATATCGCCCTCGACTGTTTTCTAATTTCAATAAATAACGTGTGTTTATAAATACGATGAATATAATGTACCTATCTACTACAATTTACTGAATAATAACAAACCAAGCTGCCACCTACTTGCAAAAATAAGCGCTATATACATTAACAGTACCATGGACACACGTCATCATATGAGGATTTCACATTTTCATCACATTAGGAATATACAAGATGATAATAATAATAATAATTGGTAGGTATGGCATTATTTTAAACACAAAAGGATATATGATAAGGAACAGTGTTGTGACTACATGTTGCCAATTAGTGTATAGAATAATTAAGGAATGTAATATTGAATAAAGTAAACATCTAAATTTATAAACAGGCAAAATTAGCCGATTTTAAAATTCTTTTATTATAAACTATATAAACTTATATAGCTGCATGATAATTTAAAATTCTTTAATATAGTCCACAACCAAGGCAACTACTGCAGTCATTCACTAGAACGTCATCACCTATTTCAGATGACAAACAGCTTGCTTTGTCTTGGTTGTAGGGTGCGGTTAGGCAATCAAATTACAACATGCATGAGAGGTCCTTTTGAATGACAACAGGTGATTAGTATCGTTTGTGTAACATTATAATGTAATGTTTGCAGTGCTGTTCATGTTTTATATAGACGATGATTACACGTTACCACACAGGTGGCCGTCAGCATCATTGACATACCTTTATAAAATATATTTAATGAAGGAAATTTAAAGAAATATTATAATTTATCTTTTAATAGCAGAATGATTGACAATGAATACTTTTTATTTTAATTAATCAACCAAAACTAAAGCATGTGTGACTTTCATAACGTTTGAAGTTAAAATGTAGTGAATAATTAGTCTGTTCAATTTTTAGTCAATGTCAACTTTTGCTATTAATTTCTTTTAAATTAAATTATTTATTGGCGAGTACTTATTTATTATTTAATTAACATTTATTAGACGCGAAAACGTGTTCTTGTGGTAATATTTATATAAAAATATCGCGTTATCATTATACCCTGCGTTGTCATTCCGGAAGACTGAGATGTCTAGCTTCTTATATCACTTTACAATAGATACACACCTTAGTATGATAGCTGCTTGACGATTGAGGTAGGCGATACTAAAGTACTTGCGCAGACGACTTTTTACAAAGTTCACATATACCTAAACTGGCTATTCGCTCCGACTTCGCCCGAGTGTATATGTTTTATGCATATAAACAATCCTCTTGAATCACTCTGTCTATTAAAGAAAACCGCTTCAAAATCCATTGCATAGTTTTAAAGATTTAAGCATACATAGGGAAGGACAGACAGCGACAGCGACTTTATTTTATACTACGTACTGATACACCTAAAAATAATGTCAGATATTATAAAGCTTTTATTATCAGTCACCTAACACAATAACTCTCGTCTGTTTGTGAAATTTAATTGAATAATCACTTCCCATAAACAATGGTCTTATATGCGATTAATCTGACAAGCACACACCTAATGAAAACAAATGAATATCGTACGCCACTCGTTTCATTTACGAGAACTCTTTTATTCCAATAAATGCCCAGGGGACTGGGGTACACGATGTTTCGAATATGATCCGTAACCTTGTAGCTCATGAAGTATCAATCAGTAAACGAAATTAAAAGGAAACGTAATAGAAATAATAGTGTAGTAGGACCTAGCAAACCTACCTGGTTAGCTTCATAAATAGAAGTGTTAAGGACATTTTTAAGGTATTAAACAATTTTTTTTATATAATTCGAATAGCAAAAAAGCTGGATACCAATCTGATGGTAAACGGTAACCAACACTTCTATGGATGATATTACGTTATCATATGACACCCGTGAAATTATTCATATGGTCCCCTCCGATCGATCCCCCGTCCAATTCAAACGGGGATCGACATTACGGCGCCCTGAGCCGAGGTTCGAACCCCTAGTGGAGCCCTCAGACTAAAGTCATATCCGTCAGACAGGAGTTGGCCTTCAGCCGCACCATAAATCATTTCGCGGGTTTGGAGTGCCATCTGCACTCGTCCCCTAACGCCCGGTGAAGCTGTAAAGGCCAGCTGCGGCAAACAGCATTAGAGTAGTCCGAAAAATGAAAAAAAAAAGAAATCATTCATACGTTTCCATTTCAGAGGATGAAAATCATGCCCCTTATCCCGTAATTTCACGATCTAATCACACCTACAACCGAAACACACTTTACATGGTAAGTTGTTTGGCGGCTGAATTAAGAGAAACTGTGTTATCCACGTAGGCGATTTAAAACTCATTGCTCGTTCACTTGAGTTTTCATTGTGTAAACGGAGAAAGTATATAAAGAGTGCTGTATTGCTGTATGATGTCTATAGTCACAGAATTATAACGGATAACCTCTTACATTGCAGCAATCCATATAACTATTTGGAATAGAATTAATTGAAACTAGGAGCTTAGTCTGCACCTGAAAGATGGATAGTCATCGGTATAGTAGTATAATATTTTTTATGTATCTGGAAAGATAAACTCCTTGATGACCAGCATGATGACTAGTGTATTAGTAGTTGTGTAGTAGTTGTACCTTTCATCCGTTATCACTATGGAAGAATACTGTGCCATACCGTGATTTCACTGCTATTATGGCTTGGCTGCTGAGGTACACATTACAGAGGTACTTATTATACTACCACCGTGAGTCGTGGTACTGCAGAGGGTAGTTGTGTGGGTAGGGTTAGAATCCGATGTGTCTCACACACTCTACTATGAGATGATCTCGATAAAATCTGTGTGTGAGAAACATCGGAATATAAAGGAATTAAAGAATCTCGTGATCGCCTTAACAGAATACAACTTGTTTTGCTTAATTAACGTAGGATTAAAAATAATTTATATTAATACAATTTTTAATACAAAATGAATACAATTTTTTTGCTTAAAAGTAAAAAATGGGTAACTTGGTAGTTGTTATATGAAGCATAATTCTGTCATCTCTATGGCCATACTTTGATTCCCATCTCGTATGTGCTTGATAAGGAAATCCGTTATGGGCAAACGATTAACGGTATCAACTATACTTATGTCAGTGTATCCCCACTCTGTAGAGTCACCAGGTTCCTTGCAAAGAAAAAGAAATCAAAATATGGTACAGTTACAGGTCATTAAACTATTAAATGACAAATATCCTGTAATGTAAGAAATAATTATATTATTTATCGTGTAAATATTATTAAAGTCTAATTTGTAAAGATGGATATTATCATTCAATGACCGGTTTTGAGCGAAATGTAGTATACAGACTAAAAGCTACAAAATACAGCTCAATCATCAATTTAATAGCAACATTTGTAAACCGAGTTATAAAGAGAAGTCAAAGTTAATTATTAATTAAGATGTTATTATTTTCTGTGAAATTATATAATTTCGCTGTTAAATATGATAATTTTAATTATTTAAACTGGTGCATTAAACTAAAACTATTTAAATTGAATAACCTAAACTCTAATACATATTTTGTAAAAATTTCATCCCATTTCCTTCATAGATTTTATGATTCTATAATATGTAAGGAAAAGAAGATAATAACTATAAAGATAATATATATAAAGAAAAATATAAATAATTATACTATATTGAACAGTAATAAAATATGGAAAACATACCGAACATCCATCATGTACTATAGTGTAATGGGAAGGCGAATTTACTGTAGCTGAGGGCCCGATTAATTTATCATTCCAAGTTAATAAAGCCAATGCATCATCCGGTGCATCACGTGGCAATACCGGCGAATTTTTACAATGGTATCTTATCTTTTGATACACATACGACGACTGACTATTAAGCCATGCCAATTGTTGTAATGTTATCTGAAAGGAAAGAAAATATATTACTGTGCAAAACAATATCTGGCAAAGTTAGGGGCAAAAACCGGCCAACTGGGCCCCGAGCCCTTCTGTGGTGTGCCTAAAACTGGGACATCTCAAATTAATGACCAAACGAGAAGCACTGAATCACTGGCTAGAAATGCCACGATTAACACATTAGACTATTGCTATTGAGTAAAAACAACATATGCATGATGACTAGGGCCCTCACAGGACACTGCATATTAAACAAGCATATGGCTAAACTAGGCCTATGCACGACAAGAATCTGCAGATTCTGCCAAACTGAAGAGGAAACGCCGCTACACATCCTATGTGGTTGTAACCCACTCATGCATAAACGAAATATCTCGTTTGGAAAGTTTACACTCTTTCCCGAGGAGAATAAAAACCATCGCTCCTAAGAATATCCTTCAATTCTTGTCCCTGACGGGTCTAGGTGGCGAATTTTGAAAAAGGGCGAGCACAATAGATCTATGTACGTCGCAGTGCTACAGGTGCTACAAACATCCTATAAATTGCTATAAACATAGGTGCTAAAAACAAAAAAAATACCATGATATTAGAGCCGTCTTTTGTTGTTATTGTATTTTTGTTGAACAACTTTGAAGCCATTTTTCTCGAAGAAACTATATGGTCTAGCGAACTTTGAAAAGGGGCGAGCACAATAGATCTATGTAGGTCGCAGTGATACAGGTGCTACAAACATCTGACAATAGCCCAAACAACCTAATAAAAAAATAAAAATTACTTTGATCTCTCCTTTTTTATCTCATGTATTAACTCCAGTAATTATTACTTAATACTAATAAGTTTCAAAAAGTACAATAATTTTCAGTTCTCCACTCAGCCAATATGTGCGTCATTGATTACAATGCGCTTGTTATCATTACCTCTAGGTAATTGTACATTTAGACTACAAACCATTCATAATTCATTAACATATTAAATAAGTAACAATAGTTGGTGTTTCTTTAGTGGGTATGTACAGATTCTATCACTTCATTAATCATAAAATTGATGGAGATATTCAGTGGATTTATTTATTTATTTATTAGCATACAAAACAGATTACAGTCATACATACATAATATAAAACGATACATAAAAGAGTAACCAATAGTAGCAAAAAACACATCCAAAATATTTTTTGTCAAAATACTAATTATTAACTATAATAGAACTTATGAGTGGCAAAAGGTTACAACAACTATGCCTAGTATCGCAGGCGTTCATGTTTTGAAGTGCATTATTTGATACTTACATTATAATACTGATATATTTCATGATATTCGCTCAACCAAAATGGTTGTTTATTCTCTGTATAATCTATATAATTCAGATCACGAGATGGTGCTTTTAAGTCCTCTGTTTTATTCAATATTAGACAAGTACGATGCTCTTTCTCACAGATAATTTTAAAGGGATCCAAAGGCATCACTTCTATAGTCCTGCCTGTAAAAATAATAAGGATTTGCATTACAACACAAAATGTGAGTTTAGCTTTCAGTAAGAAGATGTACAAACTAATACTTGTAGATAACTGTTTCTAGTTACAATTAGATATCTATATGATATCTATATATTGTAGTTTTTACATTCATTAATTAATATTTTTATGAAATACAAATATATATTTTTATTATTGTTTAATACATAAATTTATCGTATCACAGTGATTGTAACAATACTCCTCCGAAACCGTTTCACCGATTCTTATTCAATATATCTAGGTCTGAGTATAGGATGTAAATTATTTTTCATACCCCAAAGTAATAAGGGTGGTCTACCCCATAATTTATTTTATATTCAATGGACAAAATTTTGTCCAGATAATATATTTTAATTTTTTGTATTGTAGATATTTTATACGCAAACATTATTATCATTTATAAATTCTTCAATTTTAAAGTAAGCTTTTTTATAAAGACTGTAACAGAACTGATTTGAAACACTACTTCTCTTCGACTAATACCTTAGTCGAAGGTTTAGTTTGTCATACATATAAACATATAATGTTATAATAATTAAATGTAATAATAAATCAAAATAATTCTCATTTATAGCAACAATAACTGAAGTAAGCAAAATACCTTCACCGATACTTTTGTAACTTTTGCAAAGACCTGGCAATACAGTATCTTTCCTTCCTTCAGGTTCCTCTGTGAATGAAAATAAACAAAGGTACAGTTAAGAATAATAATAACCCAATTGTTACTAAGCGCCATTTACATTTAGGAGATAAAAACTCTCCTTCTAAAAATCTCCTTCTCTTTCAATTCTTGTCCCTAACGAGTCTAGGTGGCGAATTTTGAAAAAGGGCGAGCACAATAGATCTATGTACGTCGCAGTGCTACAGGTGCTACAAACATCCTATAAATTGCTATAAACATAGGTGCTAAAAACAAAAAAAATACCATGATATTAGAGCTGTCTTTTGTTGTTATTGTATTTTTGTTGAACAACTTTGAAGCCATTTTTCTCGAAGAAACTATATGGTTTCAGGGAAAGTTCTAGAACAAAAGTTCGTTACCATGGTTACTCTCATATACCCATTCCGACTAACCGTGACGAAGTTTACCTTGTACGAGAGGTACAAGGTACCTCTTCTGTACTAAAAAGATATCAGTTGCCTAGTAAAAAAATATTATTTTAGATATTTATTTTTAGACTACTTAGTTACTTTGGTATAATAATTTTAATATAACTTAGACATTATTATATTCAAATTTCAATTCAATTCTTTATAAAAACAAAGAATCGTCATACCATCGTCTAAATCATCGTCGTTGGAACAAGATTTTATGCAGACTCCTGGTACGCCTGGAGGTCCTCTAGGTCCCTATAATTAAATTGTTGTTAGCAACATGAAAATATATATATCCCCTTTAAATAATTAAAAAAAAATGTTATACACAGACCGTACTTTAGTACAAAAGAAAATGCAAGTAGTATATAGAGCTTATTATATTCACTAAATAACTGATAGATTACTATCGTCTATGATTCTTCATCATACTATATACTTCATCTACATACACTTTAAACCTTTATTTCACCTACTTCCATAATATTTTTTAAGATACAGTAGTCTATCTCCGTCGACTTAATGTAGGTACTTTGAATTTTTTTAATGAATTGTAGGTATATATACAATATTCATTTGTAAATTATTATTGTATATATACATATATTACTTACTTAATCGAGAGAGAAAGCGACGTGGTATAAAGATTTACTATACTGAATTACATCTAAGAGGTACTCAGATAAAATCTTGTCGAAGCAAAAAAACTTGTTACAAATCATATTTCTAATTGACTCCCCTGATGACACCAATATTAAACCAAAAATCAAAATCCGAGGAATCTCATGTAGGATAACAGTCGGTAGTTTATGTTTATTCTTAGTATTTGACATTTTAATTATACTTCTAACGTGCACTATTATTACTCAATACTTTCTATTCCACACACTATTATGTTGACAATTGACATGAGATATTAATAACCCAATGTAATGTAACAAACGCGTCCACATTTGCTATACCGTTTCTAATTATTATTATTATTTTTTAGTTTAATAAATTATAATAAATTAATAATAAATAAATAATACCTTTTTGCCATCTCTGCCATCTCTGCCAGGTTTCTGAAATTGTAAATAATTATTTTGTATATTGGCATACTGCTCGAAATCTTGTACTTAACCCCTCTCCAATACAAGGAGGGGGACATGATTATTAGTAACCTGGGTAAATGACCTCATTGCCAGCAATATACCATATCAGCTTGACGTGCTGCTTTTTCCATTGTAAACCATCATGATATTTTTTTCTATATTTATTTATAACCTCGTATTTCGTATATAAACATTTTGTGTGACGATGTGTGTCCGAGACAAACTCACAAACCACCTAATCAATTTCTGTTAGGTTTCATCCACTGCGTTTAAATGGGTGTAACTTAAAAGATAGCACTCATTTATGGTCCTCGTGGTTCGATTAAAGAGTGAGTTAAATATAGGGTTATAGGCTTGACTTCTTAGTCCTCTGAAATGTTAATACAAATGCGGTATCACAGACGTTACACGTGTTAATAACATGATGTCCGTGATGCTGTTCTTTTCATTCAAGCCGACAGCTTGTTTACTATTTTAATAATAAAAATTAGAACAACTGAGCTGATTCTACTGTTTATATTCGTACAATAAATGCTTTCTGAACTAAGAATGTAATTTATATAATAAAAATTCATATACTTACACCAGCTACGCCTTCTGATCCTGGAGGGCCCTATAAACATAAGTTATTGACAATATCTATATGTGAAATGCTTATGACATTCAATCTTTTAATAAAAGAAAGATATATGAATAATTATAATTTTTGCGTTGTAAATTAGTCTTTAAATTTCAGAGTTTATTTAATGTTAATAAAACAGATAAGTAATAGGTATAAAAGAAATAACAACTTATTAGAAAGAGATAGCGTCTTAGTTGCATTTAAAATCTGTAGGTAGGTATTTGTTAAGAAGTGGTATATATCGTAAAATCTTTTATAACCTTTCATAACTAAGTCTTCAGAGTAGAAAATTACAAGTTTTATTTTATGATGTAAGTTTCAATTTCACATCACTTTTTTTTTATTTAAGAGCTACGCTCTTGTCGGTGGAGCTCTTGCCACTAAAAATTCACATCACTACGTGTGCAAAATTTTGGACAGCAATTATTATAATTAATAATTACTGTCCATAATAATATCTGTATATACTCACCTCAACTCCTGGTAGTCCACTTTCACCTTGATTTCCCTGAATAAAACAATATTGTGTTCCAGTAACATAAATATTAAAACATCCGTCGGCATTGCATTATCGATAAATCTTCTTTTCATGAGAACCTACCCCTGACGATACTGATAATAACAGTCAGTAGTTTATGTTTATTCTTAGTATTTGACATTTTAATTATACTTCTAACGTGCACTATTATTACTCAATACTTTCTATTCCACACACTATTATGTTGACAATTGACATGAGATATTAATAACCCAATGTAATGTAATAAACGCGTCCACTTTTACTATACCGTTTCTAATTACTATTATTATTTTTTAGTTCAATAAAGAATATAATTATACCTTTTTGCCATCTGTGCCATCTCTGCCAGGTTTCTGAAATTGTAAATAATTATTTTGTTTTGGTATATTGGCATACCGTTCGAAATCTTGTACTTAACACCTCTCCAATACAGGGAGGGGGACACGATTATCAGTAACTTGGATAAATGACCTCATTGCTAGCAATATACTATATCAGCTTGACGTGCTGCTTTTTCCATTGTAAACCATCATTATATATTTTTTTATATTTATTTATAACCTTGTATTTTCTATATAAAAATTCGTGTGACGATGTGTGTCCCAGACAAACTCACAAACTACCTTATCAGTTTCTGTTAGATTTCATCCACTGCGACTTAAAAGATAGATTTGACAGCCTCGGTGGTCTAGTAGTTTAGCACACCGCTTTACTATCCGATGGTCGTGGGTTCGATTTCTCGCACGGTACAAAAATTAGTATTCATGAGTATGATTGTTTGTATCGGTCTGGGAGTTTTCTATGTATAATATGTATTTATTTCCAAAAAAAATTGTAGCCATGTATTTATATCAGCTGTCTAGTACACATAACACAAGCTCTGCTTAGCTTGGGGCTAGACGACACTGTGTGAATTATCCTGAGAAATTATTAATTATTATTTATTATAGATAGCTCACATTTATGATCCTAGTGGTTCGATTAAAGAGTGAGTTAAATATAGGATTATAGGCCTGAATTCTAAGACCACTAGAATGTTAATACAAGTGCGGTATCACAGACGTTACATGTATTAATAACAAGATGTCTCTAATGCTGTTACCTTCATCAAGCTGACAGCTTGTTTACCATTTTGATAATAAAAATTAGAACAACTGAGCCGATTCTACTATTTATATTCGTACAATACGTTTTGAACTAAGAATGTAATTTATATAATAAAAATTCATATACTTACACCAGCTACACCTTCTGATCCTGGAGGGCCCTATAAACATAAATTTTTGACATCGTCAGATTGTATGAAAATACCCATAAAAGTTGGACTCGTGTCATATTAATATTTAATGAGAAAGACATGAGAAATGGCATGAGCCCCATCAACAAAACATCGGCTCTAAAATTCTGACCGAAGCAGGACAGACAGGCAGGAAGTTCTACTTAAGTCAGCAATGGATAAACTACGGAAAATTGTTGCAATATTTATATTTTTTATTTTTTTTTGTGAAATGTTGATGACATTCAATCTTTTAATAAAAGAAAGATATGTGAATAGTTATAATTTTTGCGTTGTAAATTAGTCTTTCAAATTTCAGAGATTACTTAATATTAATAAAACAGATAAGTAATAGGTACAAAAGAAATAACCACTTATTAGAAAGAGACAGTATCTTAGTTGCATTTAAAATCTGTAGGTAGATATTTGACTTTTAACTTTATATAACTAAGTCCCCAGAGTTGAAAATTACAACAGTTTTATTTTATGACGTATGCGTCACTTAGTAATAAGGTATTTTTTAAAATTTAAAATTCACGTTACAAATTTTGCACATGTAAATTTTGGGCAGCAAATATTAGTTATAATAATATAGATACTCACCATAATACCTTGTATTCCAGGCAATCCATCGTAACCTGGATATCCCTGAATAAAAATGAATTAATTTCCAGTAACATAAATATTTAAACATCAGTCACCATTGCATTATCGTATTATTCCTATGTAATGAAGCAAAGAGGGTACATATTAAGTACTAGCTGACACGACAGGCGAACTCGTATTGGAATAATGAATAAAAAAATATTTCTTAAATTTACTTTTCATGAGAACCTACCCCTGACAGTAACATAAACAACAAGAAAGGAATTTATCAAATGATAAAAAGACATAGTATTATTTTTTATATATACTAGTGGTCTCCTAGTGGTTGAAACTCGACCATAATAAAAAAATCAAAAAGATCTTTGAACCAGTAATAACAATTAAAAAAAAAAAGCTTATATATGCGTGTGTCTAATACATTGTACTGTTTTTATTTTATTTTTTACTGATTCATTGTATTTTTTTTATTTGCATAAATTAAAAAATAATATTAGAATTCTATACTCCTTATTTACATAAACTATAAGGAGTCACAAGACAAGAGTTGAAGAATATACCCACAATACATCTTTCAACTGTTGTCTTGTGACTTCTGTCGGGTCTAGGTAGCGAACAGCTACAGGTCTAAGAACCTGATCAACCCCTTCAAGAAAAAAAAAACTCCAGACAAGTACAAATATAACCGAGACCATAAATAAATAAAAATATTTTAAATTTCAATTAATATTTCTGATGGAATCTCCGATACTGGAAATCATTTGATTTGACTTACTAAATGCATAAGTAAAACAATTAAGTGTTTAGCGATGAATATTAGAATAGTTTTACGTTAGAACGTAAGCGTCCATAATAAATATACTTTATTAAATTTCAATTCCGTGTACCAATTTGCGGGTAACAATTAGTAGTTACAATCATACAGATACTCACCCTATCTCCTTTTTTTCCAGCATGTCCAGACTCACCTCTATCTCCCTGAATAAAAAATAAATATTTTTCACCAAAATAAACATTTAAACATCAGTCGATATTGCATTATGAAATGATTCCTATATAATACAGCAAAAAAGAATATACTAGCTGACACGATAGACTTAAATAAATACGAATACTGAAATCTCATTGGTATAATTAATTAAAATAATATTGTTTACTAATTTAATTTTTTTCATAAGAACTTTCTCTTGACAGTGACATACACAGCAAAAAATAATTTGCCGGTCTAGCCGTTCAGGTATGATTCTCACTTTGTGGTTGCATTATTTTTGAGTACTTGGAATAGCAAACAAACTGACGATTCATCTACTGGCAAGCGGCAACCGTTGCCTATACAAATAAGGAAATGAAGAGCAATGTGGACATAACTAAGTAAATTTAGTCCTATTAGTGCATGAATGATACTTAAGATTGTATTGATTCATGTTTTATGTTAATATATTTGCCATAGTGGAAAATAAATAACGAATTGTAATAATAAATAAGAATAAACTCACCAGCCATTCAAAAACTAGATGACTTTAACATCATTGTTTTTTTTTAAACTTTTGTAAATACGTTGCACAAAATTTATTATATAATCGGAATGGTAAATTGTCTGTCTATTGTCGTCTATTACATAAATGGACATATGGCAGGGTAATAAACATAGTGACCACTAAGTTTACTATCCTGATTTAATCTGAGATTTCTTTTAATTTCGTGTCGGATATACATATTCAAAAAGTAATTCCACATTCCACACCACTTCGTTTGCATCGCACTTACTTGATATTTATTATTGGCTCTGAAATAATATCTTTTTAAATTATTGCCTATGTGTTGTATATATGTATAAGCTGTAAATTTTCTTCAAAATCCGTTCAGTAGTTTTTGTGTGAAAGAGTAACCGATATCCATCCATCCATACTCACAAACTTTCGCGTTTATAATGTAGTACATACTACATATATTATTCTAAGTAATTAATATACAATAATAATTTATTTGGCATTTACTTACTTTCTCTCCTGGCAATCCCCGCATACCTGGGATACCCTGGACCAATAGGAAACAATTAATTACTATTGGGTATACACATAATTCTTTTATATAATCTTACCTAGGTAGACTTTCTAAAAAGTCGTCTGTATGGCACCTTAGTCTCATCGATTTCTATTTTATAACTCATGGAGGCCAGAGATTTAATATATTGGCTAATCTATATGAGTTGTGTTGTGAGGAATTCAATTAATAGGTTGCGATATATATCTATAACTAGTGAGTTATAATAGTAATCCTTGTAAACCTTTCCTATTTTCCATATATTAAATAGAAAAGCATAGAAAATTATTTAGTCATATAAATATTTGAATAGTCATACTTATTTTTTTTATCTACCACTCATTCGGAAAGCTATATCACAATCATCACAAGAAGAATGAACAAGAACATTGCTTGACGCTCTCTAAATATAGTAACGTAATTAAACAAAACAATATCTTCTACCAAACGAATACAGGAATCAAAACATTACCTTTTGATATTAAAAGTATTGGTTTTAAAACAAACAAAACAGAAAACCTCTAACTATTTATAATTTATTTCATTTTTGACCGTAAGTACAAAAAAAATTTACGAAAACCTTATATATTAAAAAAACATTTTACTCACAGTTTTAAAAGTACATTGACCTGAAAGATAAATACTAGTTTTAATATATAGTGTACATATAACTTTAAGATAATTTTTGCAATTATTATAACAAAATAGCGAATCATTAACACCTGCATTTCCTTAGTTGTGATTAGTCATGATTTCTCGAAAATATGTATAGGAGACCAAATCTATATCTGGATCTTATAACTATAATAAATAAATGCCACCAAGTCTTGCATATGGTATTTTTTAAGTTGTACCTCTCAGAAATTAATGCAATTCTAAAGGAGCCCTTGAAATTTGCGTTTAATTTCCAAGGCTGTAATTGAAATGGTCAGATACAGACTCAACGTAGTTTTTTTGGCGTAGAATAATTCCGTAGTCTACTTTAAAAATATAATATCCGAGAAGTGTAAATCTATTTTTTTGGAGTTATAGAAGTTTATTTTTAAACTTTAAACATATTATTACATTATATTATATATTTTAGCTACATATCATCGTATTACAACAACCCTATTAAAAAGAAGAAAGAAAGAAGAAACTGAAATCAAAACTGTCTCCGGTTATTTTACTTGTATCAATATTTATATTGTTTACTTACTTAGTTTTACAACACATGTATCCTTTTCCAATTCAGCAGTCTACAAAACATAAATTTTAATCTGTAATTAAAAATATCAATAACGAATGTATTTTTTTATGTTATTGGAATCCTGACTTATGATTGAACGAGACGTCGTGTACATACATGAATAACTACGTACGTTTAATGACGTTATCATGTGACACTCTTGAAACCACAAATGCGTTGACATTCCAGAACTCCTATAATTTCACTGCCTAATCTACACCCAATCTCTATCCTGAGTAGGTAAAAAGCATCGCTCCTAAGAATATCCGTCAATTCTTGTTGACAATTCTTGACAAAGGTAAGTTGAAAACTTTAAAATATAAGTATTACATAATGTATATTTATAAGTATTTATATCAGTTGTTTAAGCTCATTACTTATTTCAGCTGCTTAGCTTGGGACTTTATGTGAAATGTCCGGTATTATTATTATTATTATTTACGTACCATGGATACAGGTTCCACAAAGTCGCTTGATATAATACCTGAAAAAAAAAAAACCGAAAATAATAATTTAAATCAGTTAGTACTACCTAGTCGTTTGTAAATTAAGTGGGTGTAAACAAGTAACCAATAAAGTAAGAAGCATTTTATAGTACAAATATTATTATGCAACGGGAATGACATACAGATTGACGGCCCACCTTATGGTAACCGTGTGATATACATCACTAACAACATAATAATGCCTTTTTTGTATATACAATAATATTACAAAATTTTAAAAAGCAATATGATAATTGTAGTTAGTTCGATATAATTAAATAGTAGAAAGTTGCGTAATACAATATGACGACCCTGATAACAGGGTATCCATGGTAACCCTAGGTTACATCTATAGGTATCAGTGCTGTCTTAGTGCTGTTGTATTTTAAATAACATCTGAAAGTTATTTTGGTATAGATATTTAAGTAAATTAGAACATGGATCCGTGAATTTAATAAAATGAATGTATGAGTATTGTTTTAAATAATAAGTACTAGATGTATGTAATAGGTGACCATGTGACTTCCGCGTGATACCGCACATGCGTCAGTGTTGACTTATTAATTTTATTCTGTAATTTCATGACCATTTATAATCCTATAACCAAAACACAACTGAGGTTGTTGGTATATATATATCCATATCTACAGAGCATTATAAATATAAAAGATTTAATTGTGTCAATATTTTTAACTAAAGCAAAGCATTAACTAAACTCAAGAAGTACTTGACAGATTAAAATCTTCTAACTTTAGAAAGTTAAATTATAATTACTAGCGTGACACATATTAGGTACATTGTATTTATATTATTTAAAACTATACTAATTGTAACTTGGGTATATTAAACGTTGCAATATCTGCAGTGAAATAAGAGATTTGATAATTTGTTAAATATTTCGATGGTAGTATGCAAATAATATGTTTAATTTAAAATTAAAATAACAAAATGTACATACCCATATTAATAAAAATTAAAAATAACAATTTTAATACTTTATCTGCCATCATGTCAGAGGACGTGCGATATATAAAGTATAATATTGTATTATGTTTAATTTACTAATGTATGTACTAGTAATTATTATTTACATCTATACATTTTTAGTCTCAATTTCCTCATCTATTTATGTTAATGAGGAAATTGAGACTTGAGGAAAATTAATAATTAATTCCAATAAATCTTACTGTAATAACGGGTTACTGTCTCTCAAATAAACACAATGATGCTACAGACAGTCCACTTTGTCGGCGATGCTGTAAAGCCAAAGAAACGTAAGCCTGGAGAGCTTGCAGTGGCCACATAACGATAATAACAAAATCTCGCAACAGTGAGGGCTCTCCGTGAAGCCTGTCAAGACACCCCCACCACCAGGTCCTGCGCTTCTGGGAGGAGCTTGGCTGGCTACTTTGGTAGTTTCTGGGTGTGTACACTACCAACCTACCAAAATAGCCTGCAATTGCAATGTATTACCTTACATTGTATTGCATTACATGGTTTATTACTGGGTGAATTCGCCATGATGAGCTAACTGACATAACTTCATCATCATATCACTCTCTACTGATGCGCCACCAGCTTATAATACCTTACCGTGAGATACCTTTACTGCAGGCACGAAAATATTCCATATTTATTTAGAAATCCCTACTTACCTGTTTATTTTTAAGAGGAATTTTACTCAACGCATTGGAAACTTTAAATTCCTATGTAATTTTATTAACGCACATATAATTAAATGTATTGAATAATAAATCTATTTTTGTAATATACAAGGAAAATAAAGAAATACGAATAGGTATATACGTATGTAGGTATATACGATTTCAGTTACAAAACAAATTGCTTTGACAGATTTCAGTAAAATGGTGAGATACGATGTTAAAATGATATTGTACCCGCGACTTCGTTCGCATGGAATAATGATTTTGGATAGCATTTTTAATTATTTACGGTAATTATTTTACAAATAAGACATCCAAGACATCGGTCTAGCTTTAATAATGCCGAATTGCCATAAAAACTTTCATCCCCTTAAGGATATTTTTTTAACAAACTGTGAATGTCATATTTATTACTATTTAATCAACTGCCTAAAATATAATAAGTTTCAAGCCTTTTTTCGGATTAAAGAGCAGCCTATGTCCTTTCTTAGAATATAAACTATATGTGTACCAAATTTTATTTAAATCGTTTAGTTAGTAGTTTTAGCGTGAAAACGAGACAGTCAGAGATACTTTCGCAGTTATGACATTAGCAAGAATACAGGCATTTGTGTTTGCCGAAAGAGCTATGTCTGAGTTGTACGGTTCATGTGCACCATTTACCGTAGACTTATTTATTTTTTCATAATAGTAAAAATAGTCGAAGTCAGAAATAGATCAATAGATCAATGAACATATGTCGCCAATAAGCCTTTTAAATAAATGTTGTTATTTTTAACATTTATTTAAAAAGCTTATTGGCGACATCTGTTTATAAACTGCCGAACTACTTCCTGAACATTTCAGGTCAGCAACCGAGAGTCGTGGCCTAGTCAACGTATCTCGCTACACGGTCTCAAATGTACTGAGTTTGATTCTAATCACAGATAACATAATATTACATACAGATACCCCATCCCATACAAGAAAATGGTTCCTTCCTAACTCGGGCTATTCTTCGGGCTATTTTATTTCGCCGCCGTAGCCGCTAGATGTCGCTAGATCTGAAGCAGTTCGGATTACTAGTGGGTGCTTAGTAACAAAGCATGAAAATAGATGGCAGTCAATTCAGCTACATGACATCTGTTTTGCAAAGATATGTATATAATAGATATGTAGGTTACTGTATCGTGTACATCATTAGGGACGATTCAAGATTCAATGTAAATGTGTAGGTATAATATCGTTAGCCGACACTGCAGATATGGCTTATGTGCCAATGTATATACCTATTATGTTATGGTTTATTTTACATTCCATGCCTATTTTTTTGATATGTTGTAACGCGTCTGCGCTATACGTATAGCCTGATTTTGATACGTTTATACTCGTACGTATCAAAATCGGGCTATACGTTTTTTTATTTCAATCGTTATATGTATGAGACTGATTTTAGCTACAATTAATTTACTGGTATATACCTCATGTATTCTACGATGTACCCTCTTTTACCTAATGAGAATTCCGCTATATCTTATATTGTTGGATCGTCATAAAAATAATTAAAATAAGTTGTAAGACTATTGCGCTGCGTGCGGTATTCAACGACCAACTGCCGCCGGCCTCCCGTTACCCAACCGCTACCGAGGTATCTGTTGCTTAGCAACGAGCCAACAGCGCGAGGCTACCGGCGGGTGCGCCGCTATATATATATATCTACTTAGAGGTAGTGTATTACAATATATAAATTTTGTATCACAGTGTTAGTTGCCATATTTCTCCCATGATGAAAATTGATATGTATACTTGCCAGGTCTGAGGTAGGGTTGTTATCTATTTTTTATACCCCAAGTCATAGGGGTGGCCTACCCCGAAAAAATATTTTTTTGTATTATGGACAATTTTTTTTTTATTTATAATGTTACATTGAAAATACATACACGCCTAAATTTTCACCCGTCTTTCACCAACCCCTATTTTTAATAGCGATATTCTTAAAAATATTATAAATGCTAAAGTAACTCAGTCTGTCTATTTGTCTCGCTTTCACGCCAAACATTCTGAATTACTCGTATATCTTTATGTACTACTACTAGTATTGTTAGTGAGGGATAAAGTTGATGAACAAAAATAAAACAATATTCGTATTAAAAATATATTCATCTAATATTTTTGGCATTATTTTTAAGTTTCTTCCAAATACAAGGGGTCTGACATGGGGTGTTATGTACCTACATTAAAAGATACTTTTTGACATGTATGAAATGTATGAAAGAAATGTATGTACCTACATTAAAATATAATTTTTGAAATGTATGAAAGTAATGTATGTACCTACATTAAAAGATAATTTTTGACATGTATGAAATGTATGTACCTACATTAAAATATAATTTTTGAAATGTATGAAATGTATGAAAGAAATGTATGTATGTACCTACATTAGAAGATTATTTTTGACATTTATGAAATGTATGTACCTACATTAAAATATAATTTTTGAAATGTATGAGATGTATGAAAAAAATGTATGTACCTACATAAAAAGTTCATTTTTGAAATGTATGAAATGTATGAAAGAAATGTATGTACCTACATTAAAAGATAATTTTTGCCATGTATGAAATGTATGAAAGAAATGTATGTACCTACATTAAAAGATAATTTTTGACATATATGAAATGTATGAAAGAAATGTATGTACCTACATTAAAATATAATTTTTGAAATGTATGAAAGTAATGTATGTACCTACATTAAAAGATAATTTTTGACATGTATGAAATGTATGTACCTACATTAAAATATAATTTTTGAAATGTATGAAATGTATGAAAGAAATGTATGTATGTACCTACATTAGAAGATTATTTTTGACATTTATGAAATGTATGTACCTACATTAAAATATAATTTTTGAAATGTATGAGATGTATGAAAAAAATGTATGTACCTACATAAAAAGTTCATTTTTGAAATGTATGAAATGTATGAAAGAAATGTATGTACCTACATTAAAAGATAATTTTTGACATGTATGAAATGTATGAAAGAAATGTATGTACCTACATTAAAAGATAATTTTTGACATATATGAAATGTATGAAAGAAATGTATGTACCTACATTAAAATATAATTTTTGAAATGTATGAAAGTAATGTATGTACCTACATTACAATATAATTTTTGAAATGTATGCACCGTACAATAACAATACACGTTAAACATCATACCACAGAGTCATACGCAAGTTAAAAACAAACTGCTATGATATTAATGAGAAAGGAAAATCAACTTTATGATATTCGAATTAGGATCGATTTCTCTCTTTTTTTTTAATACTAATTTAATCTTACCAGTTGCCAGTATTCGAAGACAACTACGATTCGTACTCGATATTTTAAATTATTATGTAATCGATTTTTCAGTACAAATGCAAATAACCAACGACACTAATAATGTACTACTATATTCCGTTCTTTGAAACGGAACACTGCATAATACAAAATAATGAAAAATTACTGTTCACAACGACTCATTAAAAGCATCATCGAATAATGCGTAATAAAATCCTGTTATCGATTATTAAAAAAAATCGATAATACATGTATTTATTTATAATATGACAACACTTCATACATAAGTATTATTGGAAATATTATTACTTGCTTGTTCGGCTATTTTTAATTTACTTAAAAAATTTTTATATGTTTAATTTACAATAATAATATATTAAGTGCTTATTATTGGAAAATATAAAAAAGACATTTAATTAGGCCGATACAAATGACGACAATGCCATCTATGAAAGCATTTTGAAAACATTGAGCCCCATATTAGCACTGATTAAAGTGTAATTAAGTACTGGAAAATAACAAAATGAGTAAATATATGAAAATTACTTTTCTAAACGCATTATTTCATTTTAACATGTATATATAACTTTTTAAAAATTGATTAAACATTTTTGAAAACACAGTTTTGTTTTTTAAAACGTTTGCAAAACTATGAAGAATTCCATCGATACCAATCACGCCATCTATATGCAACTTTTAGCAATAATAATGGCTACTTCCTCATTGAGTGCCACTGATTCTAATCGACACTAAAAACTTTTTGACATTTTGTATTTCAGATTAACTGTCCGGTGGTTAAAATATCGATATCTAACTGAACGAATTCGAGAGACAACGATAGACCTTCCGTCCTACGTTGGACTTAATTATATCAGTGAAATGTAACTATTCAAGTCAAGTGTGATATGTCGATAAATGGCAATGTATTTAATTATTACATCTCTGATAAGTTGATAACATTTAAGAATATGTTATCAAAAAGTGGATCTGCGACATCTATTTCAAATTCGTGTAAACTACTTCTTAAAGATTACAGTAC